GTCCCACTGTTGAAAAAAAAGACGTGCTGAAGTGGTTACAATTTGCCAAAGAGCACATTGACTGGCCTAAAGAAAAATGGCGCAACATTTTGTGGACTGATGAAAGTAAGATTGTTCTTTTTGGGTCTAGTGGCCGGAGACAGTTTGTCAGACGACCCCCAAACACTGAATTCAAGCCACAGTACACTGTGAAGACAGTGAAGCATGGTTGTGCAAGCATCATGATATGGGGATGTTTCTCATACTAAGGTGTTGGGCCTATTTATCGCATACCAGGGATCATGGATCAGTTTGAATACATCAGAATACTTGAAGAGGTCATGCTGCCTTATGCTGAAGAGGAAATGCCCTTGAAATGGGTGTTCCAACAAGACAACGACCCCAAACACACCAGTAAACGTGCAACATCTTGGTTCCAGACCAACAAGATTGACGTTATGGAGTGGCCAGCCCAATCCCCGGATCTTAATCCAATAGAAAACTTGTGGGGTGACATCAAAAATGCAGTTTCTGAGGCAAAACCAAGAAATAGAGAAGAACTGTGGAATGTAGTCCAATCATCCTGGGTTGGAATACCTGTTCACAGGTGCCAGAAGTTGGTTGACTCCATGCAACACAGATGTACAGCAGTTCTCAGAAACAGTGCTTATACAACTAAATATTCATTAAGTGATTCAAAGGAAAGCAAAATCTTCAAACATTTTTCAGTTTATATAGTGAATGTTTGAGTTTGTAAAGAAGAATACAAACACTGATATTTTTTTTAACAGTCTCATATTCACTTTTCTTCAATTTTTTTAGAGAAACAACACACATTTGATATATTTTTCTTCATGTTTTGATTTGGAATAGAATGTGTAGTGTTCCCAATGCATTTGTGTATATGGAATAAAAGCTATTAGAAGGATTTTGAGCTTTATTCACTTTTGTCAACATACTGCTATTATATTGAACACAACTGTATGTGTATATATATATATATATATATATATATATACACACACTTTTTATTTTTAATTATTATCATTTATAACCAAATATTAATTGTTATGAATGTACCAGTGTAAGTTTTGGTGGTTTTATTTTTCAGAATAGATTTTTTTTCTTCTTTGAAATCACTGTCTGCATTTTTAACAAATTACAAAATGGCAACATTGTCGTAATACTTGTGCATCAATACAAAAATTTAGAAAGCATGAAAATGACATTCTATACCCATAATTAACCTCTATCTAAGAATATTCAAAATATCTAAAAATATCTGAAGTACATGAGATGTTCAGTCGGTGATAGTATACTTAAAAGGTACATTTGTACATTCAAAGTGTTTAACGTTTTAAAAAAAAAAAATATTGCTTGCTGTTCTAATGCTACGTACAACAGATTATTAAGCAACAATGAGAGTTTCAAGAAAGTGTAGCCAACAAACTGTGCAAACAAACATATTCTACATTCTATGCAAATACCCTGACTATATATTTTTTTATATATATATATAAATAGATTATTGTGCTATGCTAATTCACTTCAGTGCAGAAACAATGTTTTAACACAAGTCTGTTTTGTTTATTTGTATGGATGGTGATTTTAGCACTTACTTTCAAAAATCGTATAATGTTATGTAGTGACTTAAACATATTGAGAAATACATTACTTAGGATAGAAAAAAATAATGCATGGCTGCCATACCGGCACAGGATAAATAAGACATTATTTGATAACACTGGCTCAGAAAATGATAGTAAATAATAATATTTGGATTTAAAAAAATAATAAAAAGTGACAGCAACTTTACCAGCCAATCAATACAAGAGATATGGCTTACATCGAAGGGATACTATTGCTTAAAATGCTAGCCCACCAGATTTCACTTATGTGTGGACTCTAGGGGGTTGAATAGCCCCCCTGGCTTCCTAACTCCCTTGCTTGCTCCAGAGGAGAGATCTTCCCAGTGGGGATCCTAAAAACAGTGATTGCAAAATCCTTTGTAATGGCCATGGAAGGGGCATGGACTTCAAAACTAAAGTGTGGAAATCTCTCTGCCACAATCTCTAAGAGATATAAGAAAATATAATTTTTGGGTAAACTGCTTTTGGAAACAATATAGCTGCGATTGTATAAATAGGACAATGAGATTTGGATGGACTCATAGGATGTTCTATAAACGCCCTACATTTACAGAGCTCGTTTACAGAAAACAGAAAGTTCTCAATGAATCTGAAAAGAAAGTGAAAAAGTAAAATGTTAAATTAACAAGTATGAATTAACTGCCTGGCTATATTAAGTTGGAAGTAATAAATGTACTTATCCTTTAAGATCAGTAGTCATTAACAAAGATCATTCAATTTTTCTACTGTTCTGTATCCTGTGGAGTAAAGTACATTACTTTGTCCCATATTGTTAAGTGCTTTCTAAGTCTAGGTATGAGCCCCAACTTACCCCCCCAACCCCTCCCCTCCTGCCACAGAAAATCCAGCAACAGCTAGGAAGGAGATGGCTGCTTCATAATGACAGCTTATCTTAACTCTAAGCAATTTCCACAGACAAGCAAGGGCAAGAGGAATACAGCAGATGACATATCCCCTCCTTCTGCATTACTCTTGCCATTGCTTGTTTGTTGTAAGGGCTCAGAGCCAAGGAAAGCCTATAAAGCAACCGTCTTCTTCCTAGTTGTTGTCAGATTGGCCCTGGCAGAAAGGGAAGTGGGGGAGGTCAGACTTTATAACTAGACTTAGAAAGCATTTAGCAACATAGGACAAAATATTGCATATACTTTTCGCTTGAAGACAAAACAGTAAAAATATTAAAGCGGAACTAAAGGCACAAATACTTACCTCAGTTTCAACAGTCCAACACCCATGATGTCCCTCAATTGCGCCAGCATCTCCGTTCTGGGTTCCTCTGAGTGCCAGTCTTCGGCTGTTTTGATTGCCCAACATGGAATGCTGTCCCTCCTGGCAATGCATGAAACTGCAGTCACCCTTGCCCGCTGGTAGTGTGCCAAAATGTAAACTGAGTCGTGTTTGCACAGCTCAGGCAGTTAATTGTACTTTATTGCAAGTTGCATCTGCAATAAAAAGCCTGCCTGATACGCGATTTGTTTTATTTTTTTACATTTAGTTTTGCTTTAACAATAGATCTTCTTTAGGCAGAATTACAGGTTACACATTGGAATTTATTAGAAGGTGTTGCCATTCCGATTATTCTTTTATATGAAAAATAATTTGACAAGGCATGTAGTTCTTAGATTAAAAGGAAAACAGGGAAGAAATATAGCAGCCAGGTTCAGGGACTGTAATCTTCATCTTTGCCTCACTATTTAGGCAAATAACTTGTCTACAATAAGTAAGTTAAGGATCCTCTCTAGTGTAAAAGGATGACAACCCAGGACCTTTCAACTTTAAAATAAAAGTCAGCAATGACAGCTCCCATACTTCAATCCTGGCAGATCTGCTAAAAGTACACCTGTCACCTGTGGTTTTCAGTTAGGGTTGCTGTTGGTGTTAAGATTTGAAAGCATTAAGATGTTCTTTTGCTGCCATTCGTGCATCATTATTTGACAATTTCATTCCATGTGTTTTGAGAAAACAGTTTGTTATTTCAGTCATTGAGGCCAAATTAAAATAACCAGAGGAAAGGAAAAGTATTTATCTTTCTCCAGATTTTGTTAATGAGTTACACTATAGCTGGGTGAAGCTATTAGTGTCTTGCTGACTAGATGTTTGATTTAAAGCAGCCTTGTTACTAACTCAAAAAATAAAACTAGAAGCTCCCTGTACAGGAAGAGGAATACTTACTAGTCCAGCAGAAGGGGACTCAAATCTTCCCTCTATTAGCAAACTACAAATACTAAGGTGTCTGACACTTCTGGTTGTGTCCTCTGTTGTGTCCTCTGCTGTGCCTTAAAATCCTACCCAGAAGACTCTATGGTACCAATGTGTCCAGTAGGGTGTAATGTCAGGTGGATGTAACCACCAGGCACAGCGATCCAAACAGAATTTTCTCCCCAACCCTCCCTGCAACCTTCTGGGACACGTCACAGGTCCCAGGAGGCTGCGGGACCATTAACAGGGTGCCGCGTATCTTGCACATGTGCATTGGGAACCGGCTGTGAAGCAGCAAAGAATCACAGCTGGCTTCCTACAGTTAACACACTAGCACTGGGAACCAGAAGACCATCAAAGAACTGGCCTGGGTGAGGATTGTATTTTTGGAAACTTGGCTCTTTATGCCAGCTACGATTCAATGGTATGTCAGTAAAAAATCTCAAAATTACTATGTTGACCTATAAAATGTCTTCCTTTACTGTGGGGCAGATGTACTAAACCTGGAAAGAAGTAAATGTATACTCCACAAAAACCATAATATTAATTTGTATCTGATTGGTTGCATAACAAAACATATAGCTTCTTATAATCAAGTCTTGTAAATTATCCTCTGCATATTAGTAACAGACAAAAAAAAAAAAAACACAACCAAATACTACACCTGCCCCTTAAATACTCTGCTAACCATCTTGAACATTGTATTGTACATACAGGTAATGAAAGAGACATTAGATTAATATTAAAAGAGGCACCTACAAATCAAAAAAATATTCCTGATAGTTTAGATTTAAATGTCCCATGAACAATGTTCCCTTTATTGATTGGCTTTTTCAAGGAAACCCAGAATGGCAGTTAAGATGGTGATGACGTAGAAAGAAAAGATGAACTCCAAAAAAGACATCTTTGTACAATTGATATTTTAAAAAAAAATGACTGATATAATGATAAAATGATCCGATGTACTATGACAAAATGTAATCCAAGTCATTAGAATCTGATTTACAAACAGCCACCTCTGGTATACCAAAAACAAAATGGCTGACGGTAACTCTATTGTCCTGCAGTCCCGCAGAGATGACACAAGATCACTGCGGAGGGAGTGAGATCTGTTTCCTTGTAGGTCCTGGAGTGCCTGCAGGTAGTTCACTGATGACATAAAACTCTTCCTAGACGTCAACCTAGTTTGGTAAGCTGGAGGTCTCCATTGATCTTTACAGTGTCAATAGCAGAGAGAAGTTCAACACGGTGATAAAAGTCAAAAAGCTGGTGTCCATCGACAAATACCCTGAAACGTGGATGTTCGCAGAGTATCTCCACCTACAAGAGAAGATCATGCATGTGTTATTGATGATGACCAACATTAAATTCTGGTTGGATGTGCTATGAGTAAGGCTTCTAGCTGAAACGCGTTAATCCTTTGTTGACCACATCATGAGTCACAACACAGAGGACTTATTCTCACAGATGATACCTGGTTGTTGCCTTCACTTTGCTGCATGGTTTACCATTACTGTGGAGACACTTCAGCCAAAGCATACGATTTTCCAACTCCGGACAGTCTGCACAGTAGAGCAGCTATTTCTTTCACCTGGTTAGATGTGATTGTGAGATCTGACCTCAATATCAGGTGTCTTTGGCACTGGCTTTATCAAGGGCCGAGGACCAATTCTTTAATGTGAAGGCTGCATTAGTTTTCTTTCTTTAGGCTTTTTTTACTACTGGTGATCTGGTCAGCAACACAGTTCCTGTCTTAGGCTGTCTCAACCAACTTTCTTGCCAAATCACCAGGTGAAAATAAAGGAAAAAAGCCTTAAAAAACAAAACAAATGCAACCACCACATCTTCTAAGAATTGGTACTCTGTAATTTAATAAATGTTTGTTTTCTGGTTTAAAACCATTATAAAGTCTGTATAGACATCATGATCATTATCTTTAAAGTAGAATTCCATTCAAAACCTAACTAGTGTTAAAAATGCTCCCTCCCCTCTCATAACACCTATGCTGATTAACCTGTGTAAGAAAGCTGTATATTCTTAATTATTTTCAGCCTGATGTGGCCCAGTCAGTTGATCCCTGTGTTAGCCAAAGGCTGCTGCAGGGGAGAGGAGAGAGAGCACTTGGCAACAGCTGGAATGCCGGCGAGAGGTGACATTGCCCATAGGCCCTCATGGTCCATCCATTGTCAGCGCTCCCTCCTCTCCCATGCAGCTGCTGCTGGCTGACAAAAAGGAGCAGGATCACGCGAGTAAAAAGGCCTGAAAATAGATAAAATAGAAATCTTTCTTAAAAAGATTAATTAGCATGGGTGTCAGGAGGGGGCATTTGTAAGACTAGTTAGGGTTTGCATGGAAATCTACTTTAACCTAAAGTAAAAGGAAATGCTTGCTCTCAATAAACACCATTCTAGTGCATTGATATGTGTAAAATGTGAAAAGGATGTTTCTTTAGAGGCATTAGAGGAACACGTACAGCTCTCTCTGGCTCCTGCAAGCCAAAGCAAGGCTAGGAGGATAGGAGGAGTTGAAGCACATTCCTGTTGGAGCTCTTCTGACAAGCATATGGCATCAAGGATGGTGCCGGCTGGGGAGAATGGGGCAGAGCCAGGGTGGGGGTGGAGCAGATCGGAACTGCCCTGTAATTCTTTTCACAGACACCGACAACAGTTCCAGGATCACGATTCTGCCCGCGATTTCAAAACACTTTGCTAAAATAACAAAACGCACAACAGCATGTTCAGGTGGCATTCATTTTAATAGCACCTAAAACACAGTGCGGTTGTGCTGCAATTGTCGCACGATCAATCACGCTGCAATCGTGGCGAACCGCACCATGCAAAGCCTGTTGTCCCAAAAGAAGGTCCTGCACTACTTTTGGATCACAAACCGATGTGGTTTGCCGCAACTGCAGCCCGATTTATGGCTCGACAATCGCGGCAGAACTGCACTGCAATTTCAGGTGACTATAAAATGAATGCCACCTGAACATGCTGTTGTGCAATTTGTTATTTTATCAAAGCATTTTTAAAACGTGGGCAGAATTGCAGCGATTCTGCCCGCGATTCAAAACGCCACAGTGTGAATGGGGCCTTACATTTCCTCCTTTTAAACCCTGGCTGCGCTATTAGTTATTTTAGCTTGGAAAGACAAGCTTTGTCCCACTCCCTCCAGCAAGCCTCTACTAACCAGCCAGGCATCACATCCAGGGACTCAAATGAGGGGCTGCAGGCGGCACGCCAACTAAGGACAGTATTTGTATAACAGAATAATATGAGTTTTGGGGCTCCCAGAAAACAAACAGAATTGGAAAAAGTAGACTTCAAAATGGAACTCCACCTGTACAACAGATTTAAAATGTTACTAAACCCAGGACTCTGCATTCACTATATCTGGTCTCCTACAGTACACAGAACATGGAAATGCAATTATTGTAGTAAATATAAACTGCTAAAACCTTTTCTTATCAGCAGTATATAGCAGTCTTGTGACTTCTATCAGTGTTCAGCTGGGCACTGGGCACAGCTTGTATGAGGAGTTTTCATTCTCTCCTGATTGTCTTATGAGGCTGCAGGACCCTTCACCCTCTGTCTGGACAGTGGTGATTGGCCCTGTTCTGATGACATGCACTCTCTCAAGAAACCCCCCCAAAAAACTCTAGCCATACACACTAAACTGAGCATGTGCAGCTTGCCCTCAAGGCTCTCTGCTATCAGCAGATGGATTGGGGACAGTAGAAGAAAGGGAGGATCAGAGAAGACAGGATCAAACATCATTTTTACACAATGTGGAGGATTAACCCTGTTCCACTATGAGTATAACACGCATGCTTTACTGCATATACAGACCTATTTTTACCATTGTGGGTTTAGTAACACTTTAATAATATTGAGAATCAGGCCAGTGAGGTAATACACTTAGTAAATAGCATTCTTTTCCTCTTTGTTTTGCAAAAGCAGAACCATGATAATCTAATGCAATTCGGAAAAAAAATCATTGTATGTTACCTCTGCAATATAAATCCTTCCTGCTTCCAAAACTTTTTTTTCTATGACAAAGTTCCGCTTCATTTATTTATATCAGGTAGTTATATAGCGCCGTCAATTTATGCAGCGCTTTACATATACAGTTGCAAGAAAAGTATGTGAACCCTTGGGATTACGTGGAGTTTTTGCATGAATTGGGCCATAAAATGTGCTCTGAACGTCATCTAAGTCACAACAATAGAAGAACACAGTCTGCTGAACATAATACTAACACAAAACATTAGATGTTGCCATGGTTTAATTGCACATAACATGTAAACATTCACAGTGCAGGAGGAAAAAGTTTGTGAACCTTTGGACTTAATAACTGGTTGACCCTCCTTTGGCAGCAATAACCTCAACCAAACGTTTCCTGTAGTTGCAGATCAGACCTGCACAACGATCTGGAGTCATTTTGGACCACTCCTCTTCACAAAACCGTTTCAGTGTAGCAATCTTCTTGGGATGTCAGTGTGAATCGCTCTCTTAAGGTCATGCCACAGCATTTCAATCGGGTTGAGGTCAGGACTCTGACTGGGCCACTCCCCCCCCCCCCCCCCCCCCCACTCCAGAAGGCGTATTCTGTGCTGTTGCAGCCATTGTTTTGTTGAATGATTGTATGCTTTGGGTCATTGTCCTGTTGCATCACCCATCCTCTGCGGAGCTTCAGTGGCGGACAGATGGTTGTACGTTTTCCTGCAAAATGTCTTGATATACTCTGGAATTCATTTTCCAATCAATGACAACAATCCGTCCAGGCCCTGAGGCAGCAAAGCAGCCCCAAACCATGATGCTCCCTCCGCCATGTTTCCACAGTGGGATGAGGTTTTGATGTTGGTGTGCTGTGCCTTTGTTTCTCCCACACATAGTGTGTCGTGTGTTCTTCCCAAACAACTCAATCTTGGTTTCATCTGTCCACAGTATATTTTGCCAGTAGTGCTGTGGACACATCCAGGTGCTCTTTTGCAAACTTCAAACGTGCTGCAATCTTCTTTTTGGACAGCAATGGCTTCCTTCGTGGTGTCCTCCCATGTACTCCATTCTTGTTTCATGTTTTCCTTATTGTAGATGTGTCAACAAAAATGTTAGCATGTGCCAGAGATTTCTGCAGGTCTTTAGCTGACACTCTGGGATTCTTCTTTACCTCATGCAGCATTCTGCGCTGTGCTCTTGCAGTCATTTTTTACAGGACGACCACGCCTAGGGAGAGTAGCAACAGTGCTAAACTTTCTCTATTTGTAGACAGTCTGTCTTACCGTGGACACATGAACATCAAGGCTCAAGGAGATACTTTTGTAACCCTTTCCAGCTTCATGCAAGTCAACAATTCTTGATCGTAGGTCTTCTGAGAGCTCTTTTCTGCGAGGCATGGTTCACATCAGGACAGTGCTTCTTGAAACCAGTAAACCCAAAACGGGTGTGTGTTTTTTCAGGGCAGGACAGCTATCAGCAACACATCCAATATCATCACACTGATTGGAGTCAAGGTTGGCTCACTCCTGGCTCCAATTAGCTCTGGGAGAAGTCATTAAGCTAGGGGTTCACATACTTTTTCCTCCCTGCACTGTGATGTTTACATGTTATGTGCAATTAAACCATGGCAACATCTAATGTTTGTGTAGTATTATGTTCAGCAGACTGTGTTCTTCTATTGTTGTGACTTAGATGACGTTCAGAGCACATTTTATGCCCAATTCATGCACAACTCCACGTAATCCCAAGGGGTTCACATACTTTTTCTTGCAACTGTATATTGTACATTCACATCAGTCCCTAACCCTCACGGGGCGTACAATCTAAGGTCCCTAACTTTACATTCATACATACACATACAAGGGCCAATTTAGACAGGAGCCAATTAACCTACCAGCATGTCTTTGGAGTGTGGGAGGAACCCAAGCAGGAACAGGGGGCACACGCAAACTGCAGGCAGGTGGTGCCATGCTTGGGATTCAAACCGACGACCCTAGTACTGCCAGGCAGAAGTGCTAACCATTTAGCCACTGTGCTTTGAGTTACCCTTGCTATATTCACCTCCACTCTATAAATGGGGTGTCCAGGGGCTCCCTCACTGGCCGCTGACATCTTCAGTTGGTCTTTTTCCAGGTTCTGATCTACAGCCATTTGACTGGCTAAGCCATGATGACATGACCAGGGGCGGACTGACAACTCATGGGGCCCCCAGGCAATAGGGGATCATGGGGCCCCTGTGTCCTTGCCCACACTCAAAAATGCCTATAAAAAAAAGGTACCAGGGGCATTTTATGGGGCCCCCTACTGACCCCGGGCCCTTGGGCA